AAATTCTTGTCATAACGGATTTTTAAAATTTTTGCTTCACGTATTAATTTTCTTATGTGTCCTGTTTATCCGCTGTGACTGTTAAAGATTTGACTAATGGTGTCATCTAACTTTTGAGCATCCACTGTTTCTTCGATAGTTGCAATTATTTTCAAAGTATTTTTGGAGGAGTTTAGGTGCAGGTCTAGGACTCCAGCTTAATTTTTCTCTAATGTTTTTTTTTTGTTATGATTTCTAATAACGTATCTTTGAGTTCTTATAAATACTCTTTAGTTAGGTCAAACAAGTACACCTCAATATCCTGGCCTATATAATATAAATATATAAAATAATCAGATTACAAATACCTATTATTATATTAAAATTTTTTGTCTCTCCTCCATAATTGATTATTTAATATGCGGATTTTTTAAATCACCTTAAAAAGGAATTTGCAACATAAAAATTTCCTCATCAAAGATCCATCGTCACCATTGTATTTCTTTGTTGCTGTTTTTTCCTTTTTTAAAAATGTGGGCAATACAAGTAAGTTTACATATCAAAATCGATATTTATGCAACATAAGCTCCTTATTAATAGTACTAGTGGAGTAGTCACTTGATTGATTTATCTTTTTCTAAAGTTACGTTTTTTAGTAGAAAAACTTCCATATATATATATATATATACACAAGAAACAAATAAATGAAAAATGACCAGATAAACTACTTAGTAAGTAGAGAAATATGAACATTCGATTTTATGTTAATGCTGATGAATGATGTTGGTTACTTTGATGGAGGCCAGTTTAATCCTTTTTTTGGATGCTTGCAAATTCTGAAAATCAAAATACTAAATATTAAATAAAGTGATCAAAAAATGTTAAGGGCACACCATCTATCTGTTCTCGTTTCTTTGAGAAGTGACAAAGATAAAAGCGACATAGCTAGAAGAACCCCCTCTTTTCATAGGGATTTAACGGTCTATTTTTTAAAATTTTAATAATAAAAAAAAAAAGTCTTGGGCTTTGAAGTTAGTCAACTTTCCAATATATTCAAATTGCATGCGAATCACTCAAAAGGAAATCTATTAATAGATTCCCAAGTACTGTACAACAAGAAACAGGGGCAGAGTAATTTTTTATATCATGGTAACGACAAATAAACAAACCGTTTTACAAAATGAATCTTTGTTATCGAGAACAAATGTAACAAAATCATTCAATTATTTTGTATGTTTACAAATATCGAGATCAAAGGTATTTAAATTGTTATTATCATACATTTTGTTATTCATGTATTTCTTAATGGATAAAACAATCAAAGTCCATATTGTACACTATGTAAGAACAAGATAAAACATATAATTCATAATATTGATGAGACTAAAGGATCACTTTTAAATATTATTTGGAAGATGACTATGGCGAAAGGCATGGCCATGGAAATAATGTTAATATAGTGGTGGCGAGTTTAAGCATAGCGAAAAAAATAAGTTGATGACAGCAAGAAAAGAATTCAAATAATAATAAACATCAAAGACATCACCAAATAATCTAGAAATATTAATCAAAATAAGAATTTATTACAGAGACATGTATGATGAAGTTATCAAAGAATATGTTTAATAAATATTAACAATGTGTTATTTTAATGAAAAAGAAAGTTGAAACGGTGGTTGAAAGGAGCCAAAATTTCTGGACAAATTAAATGGATTTTGAATAATTGAAAGGTGGGATGAATTAATCGAATATGGTTAAAGGCATTATTTGTAAATATGGATTCATAGATACATTATTATTACCTTTGGGTGACAACGGAAAAATTTATCTACCATTTCTTGTATGGTAAAAATTTTCCTTCAAATGTGATCTTTACTCTCTCTTGATCTTCTTTTTTAACCTTCAAGGGATCAAAAATAGAAATAATTTATTTAATAATAATGACAATCATTGTATTATTATGGGCGAAGGATATTTTGAAATCAATCTATAATCCAACATCCAACATCAGTGTCAATAATTACCTTATCAACATTCGCAGTAAAATCAATTGCAGACATGATTCCATCACCAAACTTTTTACAACAATGTCAAAAACAATAATTTAATTGTTACTATTGTTGTTTTAGTTAAATTATAATTATATGGATGAAATTATAATACCTTTTCATTAACAATAGACTTTAATGGATATCCATAAACCTATTTAAAAAGGAAATTAACAATTAATTGAACAATTCCTCTCAAAGTGAAGGATTTCAAAAAAAATTTTGAAAACAATAATTTACTTGTAAGATTTCATAAAACCGGTAGAGAAATGGATCACTCGGTGGCATATTAATTAATCTTAAAAAAAAAAAAATCCCAATTTAATTTAATTGAAGAGATTCTATAAAAAGATTTATTATATAATAAAGTTTTTGTGGTCAAACCAACCCTCCACGAGTAGGGAAATAAGATTTATCGAGGTCATCAATTAAATAGCTTTCTTTAATATCCAATATGACACTAAGTTTTTTCAGATCATCTTCATCCGGTTTTGCCTTTATTATATTAAAAAAATAATATGGTATTAATAATTAATTAGTAATAATTAAAAAAGACATTTATTTATTTATTTATTTATTTATTTATTTATTTATTTATTTATTTATTTATTTATTTATTTACTTGTCCATAAAATACTGCTGCGACCCAAACTTCATCTCTTCCAAGTTTTTCTGCAATATCATTAAATCTACATATTATTTTATTAATGGATAAATAATTTCAGTCTTGTTACTTTAATCATCCTCATCTTCTTTATAACAAATAATAAATTATCATTGTACGTTATTTTCTTTGCATTTTTTCCTTCAAATAATTTTTGACAAATACTTGGAAGTTTGGCTTTCAATGATGGCTTTTAAAGATAATTAGCAAATGTATTAATTAAATTTTCAATAATAATTGTTATTTTAATGTATAAATATACATACATCCATTTCGAAAATTCAAAGAAAAATAATTTGGGGTATACTGCAATAAAACTAGAAAAGTGAACATTCGTACTACCAAGAATTCCAGGGTTCAAATCTAGTCATCAAAATAATTATTATTATGTCCATTTGTTGTCTTCTATATAAAAATAATTCCACTATGGAACCCAAGATTTGCACCGATTTGAGAAATAAATTTTGTTTGGAAGCATGTAATAAAAGAACACAATAAAAAATGACTCCAATTGACGTTTAATCTAAAAATGGAAGTATATTTCCTATAGCAATCTTCGATATCCGTAAATTGTCGTTTTCTCGTTGATTGATTATGACACCGATCTCTCACGTCCTTATCATTTTCAAACTTAATTAGAAAAGAGTTCCCGGAATAACTTTATTTGCTTACCAAAGTTTGTGTTTCAGAAAGGATGTTTTAACCAATCCACTCGCTGTAAATATCACACAAACATCTTCCACTCAATATGACTAGGAAGCTAAATTTGTCTAAATATTTATCATTGAGAGCTTCATCTGGTGCTTCTAATGCCCGACCATATCACTAACAAGTATGTCAATAAGATTATTGTCAACAAAAACAGGCATTCCTTGTCTTTTTGGTGGTGATAAAGGTGATATTGGTAAGAACGCTCGCTTTTGACGTGAATTGCTCACAAAGGTCGGCCAAACGTTGCTTTACAGAACCACATCACAAATGGTTCAGATGTCATATGAGAATAGAACAATGATGATTTATCCTCACCATACTTTACCTGGTTACAAATTGCTGCTGATCGCATTCCATCAATCGCAATAATGGCTGTCAAATCCTTTGGTTGCACATTTTTAGCAATCTTTAACACTACTTGATCTGGTGACATTTTCGACATGCTTCTATCCAGCCACCTTTGTGTTTTTCCAATCGAAGAGGCATTGCTTGCGATGCAGTTTCATCACTATGTTCCTCTAATAGATCTATTTTAGTACCATTTTCAAAAGAGATATTAATTACAAACACATTTTCAAATCGTCCCTTCAGTTCCTTATGAGCAATCATAAAAATAGTGGCGTGATACTTTTATCCGGCTGTTGCCTTGTATAATGTTTGTGGTGTTCGATAGTTCTCTCAAATCATTTGATTCTGGAAATACCCACTTGTTCTAAGAAGTAGTTCTGGTGGCAGTTATTCCAATTTATCTGATAACAAAACTTACAATGAATTTATTCGAGTGTTCAAACATAAAGAAAATAGATACTCTAAAAAGCACAAGTCAATTTACAAGTTAATTAGCATCACAGATAGTATACAAAACAATAAAGTGATTAGCTTCACCATCTAGACGATGAAAAGAAACAATGACAATTAATAGATGATAGAAGGGAAGATCATTAGTTGAAATGTGAATTATTAAGGAAAAAAACACAGGTTAGTCAACGTTCAACCTCTCCACATTTCCATCCTAACTAAACTCTTCCAACTTCTTTACTGCGTTTTTTAATTGATTTTCCGATTTCTTCGATTGTTGGCATTTTTTAAAAGTATATAAAAAATTTTTTCGTTGTTCTTGCTGGCGTTTTATTTTCATTGCTTATTTTTTTAAATCATTCAATATCCTTCATATAAGATAATAATTGAGGTAATTGGTCCAAAACTGGAGATTAGACAAGTATTAAGTTGCTACCAAAGAGACATACCTAGCTTATCTTGTAATTTATGTATTATTGGTAAAGAGGTAATGTATGAATGAAATTGACTACGCCACTAATACACCACAACCAGGTTGGAAAATTCCATTCTCCATTCAAAAAATCAACGGAGCAATGGAGCAAAAAACATTACAATTATTATGTTTTTAATAGAACGCAACGGAGTTAATCGCAGATCAATTACAAATTTGTATACTGATCTAAAAGCAAAATTTATTGTTTTATAAAGTGATCAACCAGTGAGTCTACCAATCTTGTCTGTCCATAAATAAAAATGGGGAATTGGCGATAGCCAGTCAAAATTAAAAGGTCGCCAATTTCCTTAGACGAGAATGAAAACAAAGGATATGGATGATAATAAGAACTTGCCGCAGAAAATCAAATATAATAAATCCAGTAAAACAATGATATGATTTTTGTGAATGGTGTTGCTATTCTATGAAAAAATGCACCTTCAAAATAACATCCAATCAGTAAAAAAGAACAATGATAATAATATGATCTTCTTTTTTCTATGCCGATTTTACACTACATAAACAAACTTTTTTTTTGTATAATAGTAAAAATTTTCGCTAATTATGATGTCATGTTTCAAAAAAAAAATTTTTTTTAAAGAAATAATCAACTAATACGAATATAATTTAACAATTTAACAAACGTATAATATAAATATAATAAACATGGATAACAAAGCTTCCCAAACCTCAGAAGATAATAAAAGATCAACCGAGGAAAAACAAACAGAAGAAATGCTCGACGAAGAACCACAATCGTCGTCAAAAGCATGCAATTTTTTTTTTATTATGATTATAATTGTGATTTTTATTTTTTCACAGATTATTTATTATTACTTCTCTTAATTCGTTTCATGTAGTTGAAGAAACTTGAAGTAGATTGTGGAAAGAATGAACAAGGAGAAACATATTTCAAAGTAATAATAAATAATATATATATATAATTTATAATATACATCATATGTTAGATTATTTATTTAATATTCTTCTCCATATGTATTAGTTGTCAGATAAGAAAAGAGTTACAATTAAAGAATGGAAGAATATGATATTACTTGATATTCGTGAATTTTTTGTAGCCGATGATGGAACTTTGAAACCAACTAAAAAAGGCATTTTAATCTTTTTACATATATATATATTTTTTTTAATCAAATTACAAAATCAATTAATAATTGATAATTGATTGTTTTCCTTTTAAAAGGCATTTCATTGCAAGAAGATCAATGGAATAAATTGAAATCGTTAGGAAATGATATCGATGAAGCAATAAATAGTTTAAAATAATGCACTTACTCTTCGCTCGCTTATAATTTGCAGGATATTATAATAATAATAATAATAAATAATTTTTAATTGTTATGTAACTTTGAATGAATTGTTTGAGAATACTTGTGAAACTTTGACATGAAACATCTTCACATTATTATTTATTATCTATTGACCAGCTAATTAACAAACTAATATTTAAAACAGCAGGCAGCGATTGCTGGTTTCATTGGTTTAGATATTGTTAATAACAATGGGCTTTCTTTCATTTTTATGTCCAAATTAACGAAAGAATACAATTCAACTAAATCGGTGCAACATACTTTGTAACAATTTAGAAAAGATTGACAATATTTAGAAAGGATTGGCAATGATACTAACTCTCTTTAGAATTTTCAAAAGAAAGGAAATTTTCATTTCACGAATTGATTGCGTTGTATCATTGATCCATTGATTAATTATTGACCATGATCATGATCACTCTCTCGAATTTTTTTAAAACGTTCAAAGATTGTATTTACAAGTAAAAAAAATGAAGAAAAAATCATTTGATCAAAATCATGCCTTCCAAAAATGTGAAGAAATATTTTTCCCGCCACTAAAAATTTGGAATTAATCCATTATTGTTTTAGTATTAGCATCGCCATTAGAAAACAACAATTTGGAATTAATTCGTTATTATTAATATCTAATTAAAGGAAATCATCAAAGTTTTTTTTTTTGAAAAGATTCTTGCCTTTTTGAAAATGTGATTTATTGTATTATTTCTAATATTAAAACGGCCATTCCTTTTTTGAAAGTGCAAAGAAAAATGTAATGATTTCGGAATTAATTTTATTATTATTTTTCCTAATATTAAAAACGACCATGCCTTTTTTGAAAGTGTGAAGAAGAAAAGGCGTTATTTATTTTTTAAGAGTAGTAGTAGAGTTATAGGTAACGCGAATTTTACTATGATTTTTTGGCTGCCGATCATTAAAATATTAGTGTAGTCGTAATAACATTATTATTATATATAAAGAATATTTTATTTTATTTTATTTGTAAATATTATCTATTGAATGATAAGAGAATGATAATTACTGTTCCTTATTTAAAAATAAATTATGATGTTTGTTAATTATATTAATTATTTTTACAAAATACATATTATATTTCACAAAATACCAAGTAAAATTACAGGAAACTCCCACTTTTTGTTTAAATTTGATATAACCTCCACGAAGAATAAGTATATAGAACAAGTATTGTAGGTAGTATAGATTGAGATATATTGTTGCCTTGTTCGGTTTATAAAATACAACTATTATATGTACATTAAGATTAATTTTTCTGAAACAAATTCATCGCCAAATTAGGAAATTTAGAAAATTAGAAAATTTGCCGCATGAACCGGCCGTTTATTCTGCATTGCGTGCTTGTTTATTTGTTGTGTAAATCCCCGAAATCCTAATTTCGGTTTTGTAGTTATTTTTAAATCTTTTTAAAATGTATAAAATAATTCAAAAAATTTTCTTTTCTCAATAATTAAAATTTTGAAAATTTCGAGTTACAATAATAATTAACATCTGCCCATTCGTACACTCTCTCCCATTCACCAATTAAATTCTATCCTTTTTCATTATAAAAATAATAATAATAATAATAATCATTATTATAATATAAACAACTTTATTTTTTTCAAAATGAAAAACTCATCGATTTTTTTGATTTTTCTATTTGTTATTACAAACTTCGCCATTATTCAAATGGTAGATGCTTGGGGCGAAGATGGCCACAAGACTGTTGGTGAAATTGCTCAAAATGTTTTGAAACCGAGCGTAGCTCTGAAAGTTGCAAAGTTGTTTCAAGATCCGTCTTTTGGTGGAAAATTAGCTCCTGCCAGTATTTGGGCCGACACTGTTAGAAAACAAAAAGGATCTCCATTTGCTTTTTGGAGTGCTCCTTTACATTTCATGGATACTCACGATGACCCTGGCAAAGAATGTTCTGTCAATGAGGTAATTAAAAAAAAAATTCAAATTTCACGTGTTTGTGTTTTGTGTTTGTGTTTTTATTTAACTTTTTTCTCGTATAATTATTTTTTAGGCTACTGATTGTGCTGATGGTGTTTGTGTGGTCGGTGGTAAGTGTTCCTTTCTTTAAAAACAATAAATTATATTTTTTTTTTATTTTTTTTTTCTTAATTGTTAAAATGTTTTATATAATATTATTATTACACGATTAGCAATTGCCAATTATACAACTCAATTGGATTGCGAAAACGGCAATGACATCAATACTAGAGATATTGCTCTTAGATTTTTAACACATTTCTTTGGTGATATTACACAACGTAATGATTTTTTTTTTCTCTTATTTTTTTTTTTAATATTAATATCTAATGACAATTAATTAAATCAATTATGCTTTTTTAGCACTTCATGTTTGTGGACGTGCAAAAGGTGGAAATGGTGTTGACGTGAAATTTGATGGTCGTAATTCAAAGTAAGTATCATTCATTGTTATCTTATTTTTTTTAAAAAAAAAAAACAATTAATTTTAATATTTTCTTTTAAATTATTTTTTAAAGTCTTCACTCCATCTGGGATACAGCTATGGTAAATTTACAAAAAAAACTTGATAAATTCTCTTTGTAAAGAAACATTTTATTTAATTCAATTAATTAATTAACTAATTGGCAATTATATCTTTTAGGTTGAAAAAAGATTAAAAGACTTTAACAATAGTTTTAAAACATACGCAAATCACTTAACCAATGAAATTATTAATGGTACTTTTGCAAACGAGTCAAAAACTTGGATTTCATGTGAAGAGACACCACAACGAAGGGATATTAGTTTCATAAAGCGTGCCAAAGCCACTACAAGATGTCCACTTAGTTGGGCAGTTGACACCAATGGAATTAACTGTCCTTTGGTAAGTGTATACATATCTATTTATTTGACTATAAAGATGAATTTGGGAAACTAAAAAAAAACTTTTTTAATTAATTAGGTTTGGGCAGCTATTGATGACAATTCAGCATTAGATTTAGGTGGAAAATATTATAATGATGCAGTACCATTTATTGATAGACAACTCGCCAAAGGTGGTTTTAGACTCGGAACATTCTTAAATATTATGTTAAGTAAACCTTGTGAAAAGAATTAAATTGTAAAATTGTTGTATATAGAGAATCTATTTCGATAGATAATATTTAACCGAATAAAATAAAATCAATTAATAATATATAAAAAAAAAGAAGATATCTACAATGTCTCTTGAAAATTATTTAGTAGTGGTGTGATCGTTTGGTCGATAAAATCTTCCATCGTCATCGTAATAGTAACAGTCATGATCCACCGTCATAGCTATAAATGTTATTATTATTTCTCTTCCCCAGCCAGCCACTTTTTCATCATCACCGCCATCATCAATATTATCAAAGTAAATTATTCATATTTCGTCATATTTGCATTTTGTTTCAGTCGTTTTTCGTCATCGTAATCATTGCCATTTACTGGATTGTTATAGTCATCGTAATTAATAATAAATTTTCGTCAATCATGACAACTTGTTCCTTTTGCATTATTTGCTGATATTCAACGGTATTATTATAAAAATCAATTTTACTTGCCAACTAGATGAACCTGTCGTGGCGTTAAGGAACGTGATCAAAATGGTAATAATGGCGTTTTTGAAATCGAATTTACAATAACTTTTAGCAAGAATGGATTTAATCCGTTTGGCGGTTTGTTTTTAGTCTTCATTTTATCAAAGGTTCCTCCTCTTCTGTGATTGGAACTGTCGAGAAAATCCTTAACCCATTTGGATCCGTTGGCTACCTGATGATACGCAAGTATGATGCTGATATTGATCTGGAAATATCAATATCAATATTAATATGACTATTCTCAAAACTTAAATTACTTGTGACTCTAAAATTTTGATTTAATTTTCTAGATTTCCTAGGTTTACAAACTTTACAAACTTATTAAGAAAAATTTCCCAATCAATGAAAAAAAAAATATTTATTGAAAACAATTGAATCCTAGATGTTAATGTTTTTTAATTGATCCCATGGTTTTGCACTATTATTTCCTACTTCAAAGGTTTGGCTAGGTCCTTCCTTCCCGATTCTTCATTAAAAGTTCCAAAGCGTTTTCATCGTAAATAGTGACTTTGTTTTCAAAAACTATAGTATTTAAATTCATTGGTAAACTTTCATTTAAAGCCATAAATACCTTATCACCATTTAAATTGATTTTCCAAATAAATATAATTACACAATATAATGCTTTTCAATCGAGTGTATTTATTAAATATATCTACTAAATGTTATTCTTGTAAAATATTGCTAATTGTTCTAAATTTAAATTTAAACAATTCTGAACGACTGCGAAGTTTGTCACTTGGATCACCCCAATGTTCATAATTCTCCATTGATTTTAAGAAGATTTGACAAAACAAATAAAAATGAATGATTATATTAAAGTCTCAAGATTTGAAATAATAATGTTATTTTGTCATTGGTTGATGACCTTCTTCTGATAATGTTATTGTTAAATAATGACAATGATTTTGATATTGAAGAACCTGAATTAATATTCCCATGACTTTCATAATGAGTTATTGGTTTTGAATGGATCGCAAACGCCTTTTGAATTCATCCGATAAAACCATTTCTTATTTATTTTGACATAAAGAATTAAGAAAATTTCTTAGCAAACACGTAGTGTATGTACACGTGTCACGTGCGTTACATAATAAAATTTGCATCAATAAAAAAAATTAACTTTTTTTTATAACTTTTTTTCTTGTTATGAAAATATAAGCATTAGGGGGGAGTGAGTTGCCCTTTTAAACATGCAATAATATCTACATATAAGCAATATTATCAGTGTCATATCATGGTAAATTTTTCTTATTAGAATATGTTTATTCATTGATGCATATGCAACGCAACACCGTGTTTACACACGTAGTGTACAAATAGAAACTGCCATAATAATAATATTAAATATACAATTACAAGAAGATATCAAGGAAACATACATAACTGCTGCAGAAGAAACAATTTGATATGAAATTTCTATTATTGTAAATTTTCAATGTTGAAGCATATACTCTACTTTGAACACTTTACAGTCATTCTCATATGTTCCTCATGTTTACAAGGCTAGTTTTACTTGGTCCCCCGATGATATGATGATGCAATTAAATTTCCAGGGGGTGGGCGTGCCCTGGGATTTATCAAGATCGCATCTATCATCAAGGATAATTTGTGAATTCTACCTAACATTTCTTTCTTACAGCACCTGGGCAGAGAAAATTGTAGATATGTTAGCTGAAAAGTTACCTGTGATGATCCTACTTCTAGGATAAATGTGACTCTACAACAAAGAACTTGCAACTCTAGAGGTTGCAGCAGCCTAGGTTGAAGGATCATAATATTAGGTGTATGTAAATGGAGGATCTGTAACTTATTTCAAGCTCAGGGAGGAATCACAATTCAGGGCACTCAAAGTACATTTGTGTAGTAAAATAATATTTTTTCTACAATTAATTATTTTCCTAAATTATATTTATTAACCAAATTTATAATTTTGGACTTTTTACTTACAGTCAGCCCCTTCCTAAAGACAGCTCTAGATATGTAACTTGACAAAACAGCAGCTCATGTTATAACCTCCTGTACTTCAGAATTTTGTACCAATTTCAGATGCCAACTTTATCTTAAAGCTCCGAAACGAGTCGGGTCATGATTTAATTGACCCGGGTTTGACCCGGGTCAACATCATGTTATAATTGCCTTTAAAAGTTCAAAATT